ACTGTCTGAACGCTCGGTTCGTGGCTGGTCGAGTGGCTGCTTACCAGGACGCTACTAGAGAGGTTTTTTGTCTGCCCTGTCCTACTTCAGGGCACCTTGTTTGGGGCACGTTGCATCTTGGTGCGCTGCAAGAGTTGATTCACCAAAGTCGTCTGCTGTGCAAGGGCACTCGTCAACTCTATGACTTGTCGAGACAAATGTTGTTCGCCACTTGGATTGGAAGAGCTTGGAAGGAATGTGCCTCATTGGGTAATGGAAGGGTGGTAGACTCCGGGTGCGAGATTTGAGTTGGGAAATGTCAAATCCGTGAAAAAATATGGTGAGAATGCCCCCGGCTCGATGGTAGGTCTGGATGGTTGAGATAGTCTTGGGCCGACTTGGGCTGCTTGGAAAGCCACATGAGCAGGCTGTCCCACGAGAGCAGGATGGGCCATGAGAGTGGGCTGCTCGACGGGAGTAGGTTGGACCACGAGAATGGGCTGCTCGTCGGGAGCAGGCTGGGCCACGAGAGCAGGCTGCTAGGCTGGAGCAGGCTAAACCACGGGAGTGGGCTGCTCGTCGAGAGCAGGCTGGGCCACGAGAGTAGATTGCTTGACGGGAGCAGGCTGGGCCACGGGAATGGGCTGCTCGTCGGGAGCAGGCTGCTCGGCGGGAGTGGGCTGCTCGTCGGAAGCAGGCTGGGCAGCGAGAGTAGGCTGTTCGTCGGGAGTAGGTTGGACCACGGGAGTGGGCTACTCATCGGGAGCAGGCTGCTCAGCGCGTGATGCATGCGAATACGAGACTTGGGCTCGGACGCGTGCAAGCTTGGATGGCACGACTTGGGCTCGGACATGTGCAAGCTTGGATGGCACGGCTTGGGCTCGGACGAGTGCAAGCTTGGATAGCATGGCTTGGGCTGTGGCCTTGGTGCCGTGAGCCTTGGATGGCACGGCTCGGGCTGTGGTGACGGCACCATAAACCTTTTCAAATGGTAGTGATGGTTAGACGTGAAAATCCCAAAAAACCCGAGAAACCATAATCTCTGATTTGAGCACTGTTCATGCACTCGTGATTTCAAAGTTTTTAGAAGATTTTAAGCTACTAGTGAGCTTTAGGACATCTTCACGAAGCTTGGAGAAGAAAAATGACATGAATTGGACGTCGGGAAGTTGAGTTTGGCGAGTTTCAGGTTTGGCCGAATTATCGAGGGTTCTATGGTGAAATCCCGTGGATTTTAGGGCTTTAAAGTGGTAAGGTTTTGTTCCTTTCATCCTAAGCTTCAAATTGGTATAAATGTTGTGAATTTTGGTTGAGAATCGAAGAAGATATGAAGGTTTGATTGTTTTTCCAGAAACCGGCGCATTCGACGATCTCCAGCGATCCAAGGAAGACAAAGAAGAATATTTCGTCAAGTCTGACGGAATATTCTAACGACGTAAGGTAACACTGTTAACTTCTGTTAAGATTTAACGGAATATTCATAATGGCAGTTAAGCTGCAGTTAAGGTTTGGCCACGCATGGGGGCTCGTCTGGGCATGTCTTGGCTGGCATGTAGCGGCGCGTGGGAGGTCGGAAAATTTTTCTAAAAATATGGGGATGTTCTTGAGGTTGAGTAGATCATGGTGGCATATTCAAATACCCCATTGAGCAATGTATGAGAAGTTATTAGCTAATTTTGGTTGTGTGCTTTAATTAACGTTTATTTAGTTATTGCACATATAGGTGAGACCTATCCAGAGTACGAGCGCCATCAATCGAGGTTCGGGGGCTATGACCCTTAGACATATCAGTGAGTGAGCTTTTGGTTTTCCGTATATACCTATATACTTGTGATTTTTTCCCAGAAAATGAATTTGAATGATTATACGTTTTGAAATGCCATGCAAAGTATCTGCCTATTTTATTTATGCATTAGTAGTTGCATATATTTATGATTGGTGCTGTGGATGCATAGGTAAGTGCCAGGTAAGTTCACAAATTAAAGATATGAGATTGCTTTAGTTAAGCGAGATATGATGTGATGCATTGAGAACTTATAAACCTGCATCCCAGTGTTAGTGCTCCCGCCTAGAGTTAGGGCATAGTTATTCACGTGATGTTCACCTCCCGCACCATATGCTCACCTTGGATCCAAGTTAGGTGCACATGCTTTTTGTACATACCATTATAGGTGGTTCCGACTCGTAGGTGACCCGCGATCATTCGCACAGTCTTCACGTGATCGTAACACTAGAGCATATTTATTTTACACCAAGTCTTGTCGTACAGACCACGTTAGGTGGTTCCGACTCGTGTGCAAGATTTGATATGATTGAGATTGGTTATGATCTATAGACTCAACCGTGCAGGTCACGTTAGGTGGAGCCGGCTGATATGATATCCGACATTGATATATTTTAACTGAGTTACTTATAGCATTTCGTTGAGATACTTAGGCATGGTATATTTCTATGGATTTTCATCCTGAGCATGATTTCTGATATAGCCTATATTATTTTTCTGGAAAATTATACAGGTTTTACAACGAGGGGTTAACGCTTTTGATAAATGAAATGAATTTGAAAAGCTTTGTTTTTGCCCACTCACACTTTCTGTTTTGCGCCCCTCCAGGTTTTAGGTTGAAGTGCTTTGGTGGCTCACGGGGATTTCGACGGTGGTTTTGACAGAACATCTCAAATGTAGGATCACCTTTAGGTGTTGTATAATTAGTACTTGTCCAGTCGGACTGCACTTAGGCTATTTATGCTTTGATTGTATATTTCACACTTAATCTCGCACTAGCACCTTATTTTAACTAGTACTTTTAGTAGTTTGGTTTTTATTCACTCGTAATTCTCCATATCATTATTGCTTCCGCACTGTGCACATGGTTACGTCACTCTCATGTGATGGCTAACATGCCCTGGCTCTATTGTAAGATCCCACATCACTAGGAGAGTGGATCCTATAAGCCTTATATGTATATTCTCATATCTATCTAGTACGAGGCCTTTTGGGAGGTCACTGGCTTCGGGTTCCATTGGAACATTGAAGTTAAGTGAGTTCGTGTGAGAGCATTCCTAGGATGAGTGACCCACTACGAAGTTTTCGTCTGAATTCCCAGAAACAAAACATTAAGGGTGTGGTAGGGGCCCAAAGCGGATAATATCGTGCTACGGTGGAGTCGAGCCTGGGATGTGGTGGGGGCCCGGGCTGGGATGTGACAATTTGGTATCAGAGTCAATCCCTGGCCGGAAGTGTGCCGACGAGGACGTCGGGCCCCTAAGGGGGGTGGATTGTAAGATCCCACATCGCTCAAGGGAGTGGATCCTATAAGCCTTATATGTATATTTCCATCTCTACTTAGCACGAGGCCTTTTGGGAGCTCATTGGCTTCGGGTTCCATCGGAACTCCGAAGTTAAGCGAGTTTGCGCGAAAGCATTCCCAGGATGGGTGACCCACTGGGAAGTTTTCATCTGAGTTCCCAAAAACAAAACCGTGAGGGTGTGGTAGGGGCCCAAAGCGGACAATATTGTGCTACGGTGGAGTTGAGTCTGGGATGTGGTAGGGGCTCGGGTTGGGATGTGACACAAGCAGTCCAAAAACATTAAAATAAAATTCAAAATAAACCTTGCACATACATTATATTCCAAATCATTTCATGAAGATATTACAAGAAAACAAAATTGACCATAAAATAACTACATCCAGAAAAATTAGGAATTTTGAATACCATAAATAGGGCAGCCAACATGATAGAAACCCCAAATTCAAGAAACTATAGCAAGAACAAAATAAATACGAATTAAAGCAAAAGGGAGATCAATCGAGATCTTACAGAGGCGAGAATCGTGATCTAGTGAAGTCGAACCCAAAATTGCAGAATCAGACAAAAAAAATCAGAAAACCTTAACTTGCAAAGAGAGAGAGGAAGAGTGGGGAGAGAGAAGGAAATAAAGAGGAAGAAGGGCGAGAGACATGAGGATGACGATGAAGGATGATGAGGAAGGCTACGCGAAAAGGAAGGCAACGGAAGAGAATGGATTAGGGTTTGTTTTAGATGGTGTAAATATTGAAAAAGATAAGGGGTATTTATGTCTTAAAATGTTATAAATTTGTGTTCCACGGAGGTGGAACAAGTTGTTTCAGGGAGGTGAGGCGGAATGAAAATTTACCCAAAATTCATCCTGTGGAACAGCTCGTTTCACCTGTTTTAGGCGCACCAAATATGGGACGGAATGCCTCGTCCCACTCCGTTCTGTCCCGTCCCACGTACCAAACGGTACCTAAGAGAACCTCTTACTTGGGCATGGCTTATCCCACATTTGAAAACCCTCAAGAGAAGTCCCAGATTTATGCTGGCATGACATATGTATGATTGACTTGTGAGTATCATCAATAGTCTGCACAAATGTAATTCTTTAGTACAAGTTTGTTGACCGAAATAGCAGTTTGAAGACTAAAATTTCCCACATCACAATTATGCACTTTTATAGACGAAATTTTTTAATATTATATTATTTTCTATCCAAAATGAGACAACTTGGTCTCACGTTTATTTTGTTATTGGACTAATTGAGGGAGATGGTGGACAAGGCACGTTATTGTAATAAAAAGAATGTTTGTGGAATAGGGTGAAGAGTCCATAGATATAGTGAGTGAGCTCAAGGTCCCAAATTTGGTGAGTTGTGTTGAAGAGTCTGTTGGTTGGAGCTAGTTTATCCTATGTAGTTTTTTGTACTTAGTAACAAACACCATTCCATTTGGCAAGTCTGTTGGAGTTGCTCAAAAAAGTTGCTTCATCGAAGTAATCCAATGGCAAGGTTAAAATACTGACGCATATGTTGATTAGACCAGTTGAGTTGAGTATGACAACATGCTAGGCTCTCCAGACTCAAGATTGCATCCGGCTTTCCGTTAATTAAAGTAGTTTAAAATAGAATGCGGCATTTAAAAAAAAGAAGAAACTGGCACATCAGTACACCAGCTAACTAGTATAATAGATTGCATGATCAGTTAACAAGGAAGCAGAAGAAAAAAGAGAACAAGTACCACAAATCCAGGAAGCTTCCTCTATATACTTTTCTGCAAACCAGATTCCATTTTTAGAACCATATACACCTCACTTGGTATTAACAAGAAAGCCAAAAGCAAAGGAAAAATGCATCGCATTTCTTCCTTTTCAATCTCTTTGTGCGGCTTCTTGTTTTTCCTGATGATTCCTCACGAAAAACTCTCCGCCGTTGCAATATCCGTTGACATAATCACCCAAACCTGCGAAAAATGCGCAGCTGAATCCGACGTGCTTAGCTACAACGTTTGTGCAGCTTCTCTCCAAGCAGTGCCTGTCAGCCATGTGACTAACCTTCAAGGACTGGCAGTGATAGCAATGGAGCTGGCACTGCACAATGCAACCAACACGCTTTCGACCATAAAGGAGTTGTCGAATAACAAAAGTTTGGATCCTTTTGCTCTGGTTTGCTTGAAGGATTGCTTGCAGCTATACTCGGACGCGATCACAACGTTGGCGGATGCGATCGGAGCATTTCTGAGTGAGGATTATGGCACGGCGAATACCTGGGTGAGTACAGTCATGGAAGCAACAACTACATGTGAGGGAGGGTTTAAGGAGAAGGAAGGTGAAGTGTCTCCATTGACAAATGAGAATTACAATCTTTTTCAGTTATGTGATATTGTACTCTGCATAAGTAACTTGCTTAATTACTCAAAGTCTACAGCAACTTGATTATTTCTCAGGTGGAATAAGAGCTCTGCAATTATCTGGATTTTTAATTCTTCAGTACATGATTTTTAATTAATTGCACAAGCGATATTGATGGAAAGGAAAATTGAGCTCGGAATTCGGGTGCAAGGGGTAAATGTCTTAGCCAACTGAGTTACATTTCTTTTCCTTTGCATGTACCCGTTATATGCAGCTAAAGAAACATACTTTGTGTTGTACTATGATCCTAATAATCAAATTAACTGTAACATTTTCTCTGTATAATCGTATGTAAAACTAAGTTTTTGGACATTAAATTAAAGGTAGTGCCATCCACACTCTCGTTTTTACTTCTCACACATCCCTTTGAATTTTCGGCCGTTGGATTGAATGAATTGAAGAAGATTAATGACAAAACAAATTTAACAAATGTGTGTGAGAAGTAAAAACTTAGACGTGTAGATGGTGAGATAATAAAACGAATGTAGCATCATTGTCTTGATTGCTATTTGCTAATTGGTTTTGGAGTGGAAGGTTTGCCCACATATTAAACCATCACTCAATTAAAATTGGCCGCGTGTTGGCCTAAAAAATTCGTCACATGTGAGAGGGCGTATGAGATTGTACGTTGAAGGAAAAATTTGGCTAAACTAAGATCATTTGAGCAACATACATAGAGCTAATTAACAATTGAAAGGCGGAAGCATGTTCATATGCACTTCAAACAAATCTTACGCATGATATTCAAAGGCTACTTGTGTGGTGAACCAAGACTCAATTTAGATCTACATAGACCTGTAAACGGGTCGGGTTTATTAGGTTTGGGTCGGGTTCAACCCGACCCGTTAAGCTAACGGGTCATTCGAACCCAACCCGTTAAGCTAACGGGTCACCCGTTTCAACCCGTTTCACCCGTTAACCTTTTTTTTTTTTCCCCACGAATAAGCTGCTTTGACAGCATAAATGTAAGCCAATCCACAACTTCCGTTCTTGAACTCCATTTAAAGTTGGCACTATTGAAGCTCTCGATTCCGTGCACTTGCAAAAACTCATCAGAAACAACATAGAACATGTGCCTAACAATCCTCTCAGTACCCACAATTGCAAGAATGGATTCTCTAGAAGAATCCTTCAAGAAATAGTGAAACAAAGTGCTCTTTCCACTCCACGAAAAAGTGACCATTTCCAGGCATTTTGACCTAGCGCACAAAGAGGGCTTGACGAAACACCAGAACCTTACTTCAAGTTCTATTAGGACTGTTGAAATTACACAAAAGTCCTTACTAACGGGTCTTAACGGGTGGTAAACTGGTTTCGCGGGTTCACCCAAACCGACCCGTTATTTAACGGGTTGACCCGTTAACCACCTACCCAAATACTAATTTTAACGGGTCGGGTTGGGTCGGGTTAACGGGTTGGGTGAAAAATGCCAGGTCTAGATCTACAAGAAATAGTTGAGAATTCATGATAGTAGATTTCTATTTGCATGGGCAAATGCTAATCACCCAAGAGAGGCCCTTCATTCTTTTGCTTCTTTCTCCATGGATTCATGATGAATAAAATCTCCAAAGTTTCCAAGGGAGGAAACCTCTAATTTCTCCATAACAAGGCGAGAGATGTGAAGAGGAGATGAGTAACCTAGGAGGAAGATTCATGCTAGTGAACTTCCTCCTTGGGGCCGGCTATGGTGAAAGGAGATGAGAGTTTTTGGTTTCTCTTCATTAGCAAACCTTGGGGTTATGACGCATCATTAAATCACCAAAGACGTACCCACCAGATAATTGTGGTGACTCGGGTCACATGACTACTTTTTAATTATTTCAACTAGTGAGTTCTCATATAACATGAGTACAAGAACTCCTCTTTCACGGGCGGAGCCACCCACAAGGCTAAGGTGGGCTATAGCCTAGGGAGGTTTTTTGTAAGTGTAATGTTATCCACATACCCATTTTTATTTCTCACACATCTCTATTCATTTTTGACCTTTGGATTGAATGAATTGAAGAAGATCAATGACAAAAATTAATAAGGGCGTGTAGGAGGTAAATATGGGTAAGAATAGGCTATTTAGAATAGCGCTATCCTTTTTTAAACTCATACCTTAATGGCTTATGTTAATGCATGTAGCATATTAGCATACTCAATTTCAATATAGGTTATTATTTCATATATATTTAGTTGAGGATACGTAATAAATAATACTTTTTAATAATAAATTAGTTCTATCTCTCCTCCCCCATTTTATCCTAGTCGTTAAAGAAAAAGACCATTTACTCTATGCGATTTAGGCTATTTGCTTCTTACCCAAGAAAGAAAAAGAATTTTTTTAGTCCACAATTAAATCCCTATCTCAGCAATTCCTTACTTTCCATTGCGATTTTTCAATGAATGTAACCTTTGGTACATTCTTAATCTCTTTATTTGCTTATTTATTTATTTAGCAGATAATATTATTTATACGGTCCTTGAATTTGGCGGTTAGGGTTATGATTTTGAGAATAATTTATATTCTATTATTATTCTTTTATATTGATTATTATATAGTTTTTATAAGCAAAAGAAAAAAGATAAACATATGATTTTATGGTATTAATTTCAGCTAGCCCAACCAAGAAAAAATTCGTGGCTCCGCTCTTGTCCTCTTTGATGGTGTTCGTTGAACTCATTCTCTATTGAGGACCTACATATTTGCCTTGGTGTCTTTTAGACCAATGACTTGTGACCAGTCACTCTCTGAAGAGAAAAGACATAGTATGATGTTATCGTACCTGATTGTTAGTCCCCAATTAGCGATCATATGATCATGAATGTTTAGAATATGTGTTTGAGAAAGAAAGGTGTCATGAATCTAACTTTGTTACATTACATTCTCTCTATCACATATTCTTAAGTCTTATTGTTTAGGTGTATAACATTTAATGAGACAACTTTAAACAATAATATTTGCCCTTAGATTAAACTAAATTAGTTTAATATGTAAAATGTTCGTAATGTATCATCTCATGATTGGCTTTTATAGCACATTTCTAACGTAATGTGAATCCGACTCATGATTGAATCCGACTTTCCGTTAATTAAAGCAGTCTAAAATAGAATACGGCATTGTTAAAAAAGAAGAAACTGACACATCAGTAAACCAGTTAACTAGTATAATAGATTGCGTGATCAGTTAACAAGGAAGCAGAAGACAAAAGAGAACAAGTACTACAAATCCAGGAAGCTTCCTCTATATACTTTTCTGCAAACCGGATTCCATTTTTAGAACCATACACACCTCACTTGGTATTAGCAAGAAAGCCAAAAGCAAAGGAAAAATGCATCGCATTTCTTCCTTTTCAATCTCTTTGTGCTGCTTCTTGTTTTTCCTGAATGATTCCTCACGAAAAACTCTCCGCCGTTGCAATATCCGTTGACATAATCACCCAAACCTGCGAAAAATGCGCAGCTGAATCCGACGTGCTTAGCTACAACGTTTGTGCAGCTTCTCTCCAAGCAGTGCCTGTCAGCCATGTGACTAATCTTCAAGGACTGGCAGTGATAGCAATGGAGCTGGCACTGCACAATGCAACCAACACGCTTTCGACCATAAAGCAGTTGTCGAATAACAAAAGTTTGGATCCCTTTGCTCTGGTTTGCTTGAAGGATTGCTTGCAGCTATACTCGGACGCTATCTCAACGTTGGCGGATGCGATCGGAGAATTTCTGAGTGAGGATTACGGCACGGCGAATACCTGGGTGAGTACAGTCATGGAAGCAACAACTACATGTGAGGGAGGGTTTAAGGAGAAGGAAGGTGAAGTGTCTCCACTGACAAATGAGAATTACAATCTTTTTCAGTTATGTGATATTGTACTCTGCATAAGTCACTTGCTTAATTACTCAAAGTCTACAGCAACCTAATTATTTCTCAGGTGGAATAAGAGCTCTGGAATTATCTGGATTTTTAATTCTTCAGTACATGATTTTTTATTTATTGCACAAGCGATATTGATGGAAAGGAAAATTGAGCTTGGAATTCGGGTGCAAGGGGTAAATGTCTTAGCCAACTGAGTTACGTGTCTCTTCCTTTGCATGTACCCGTTATATGCAGCTAGAGAAACATACTTTGTGCTGTAATATGATCCTAATAATCAAATTAACTGTTAACATTTTCTCTGTATAATCGAATGTAAAACTAAGTTTTTGGACATTAAATTAAAGGTAGTGTTATCCACACTCTCAGTTTTTAATTCTCACACATTCCTTTCAATTTTCGGCCATTGGATCAAATGAATTGAAAAAAATTAATGACAAAAAAACTAACAAATGTGTATGAGAAGTAAAAATAAGTGTGTGGATATCATTTTTCTAATTTAATAAGCATCCCCACATATTATTGGCTTGGCCTGCCATATGACAAATTTTATGACAAGAAAAAGGCTCGTAAAAAAGTTGATCATGAGGAGGGCTGAATCTGCGAAGCTTCAAGGCACTTTACTTCGTATGTCAAATCTCCCGCTCTACTAGTAGACTGCTTGATCACACGAGGCCCTTCTCAAAGGGATCCCGCTTCACTGTTTATGGAGCGTGATACTCGACAACATATCAAGATATATTGACACTAATTTCGACATCTATATAAACAACATGTTGAGAGAACGTATAAATATTCATAATCGACACCAAATTGACATCTCATATCAATACAGTACCATATCAAATTGAGTATCCCACTTTATGAACAATTGACCGTGATTGCCCTTCTCAACGGGATGGTCGATATGTCGTCCATATGGACTCGTTCTAACAAGTTGAAGAGACAAACAACTAAATCAACTAGCTAGTTGATAGTTCAGCTGGGCAGGACTAAACTCAACTTGGATATTGGCTAGAAACTTGGAAATCAAAACAAGGTAAAATCCAATCTGTTTCAGTAGAGTAAGAATACAAGGGAGGACTGCTAACAACATATGCAGCACTGTAAGTTTTGTTCGCGTCAGGAATTTCCGTCGGGAATGTTTCCTGGCCGACGACACACAGCTCCCCTGGAGGTTGGCGCCGGTTGAGGGCTGCTGTCGGGCTCTGCTTCACTGTCAGGCTTGTCGGGCAATCTCGTCGGGCAAGTCTTCGGGCAAACTCTTCGGGCAA